TAGGATGCCTCGGGGGTGAGTAAAACACAGCCTAATTTTCATTTTTGGGTGAACTAACCCTTTAACTACGACTTTGGCCTCAATACACTCCTAATTTCTGCTTATTAATAGTTAGAAAGGTACTAGTTTAGGTATTGGATAGGATTAGGAATGTAGAATATGGTCATGCAGAATATGTGCTTTTATAAGTACTAATAAACAGCCAATATGTTAATAATAACCCTAACCATAACAGTTAGGGCCTAATAGTGAGAACTGGTCCCAATACTAAAGTGTTACCAAACATATATATCATTTTTTCTTGGTTTCTTAAAATTACTTTCCATTGGTATTCCAGGCCTAGAAATGTTAACATTTTCAGGTGTTTCATGCAGGTGCTTCAAATAACTGCAATAATGTTTTCATTTTTGTATAGCAGTGATTTATTACAGCTGAACCTCACATTTTAAAATATATTCAGATAGAAAACAATTATTTTAAATTCTGCTGGATCTTTCTGCTGCTTTTGACACTGTCAATCATCAGACCCTCCTTTCTGCCCTCTCTTCAATGGGCATCACAGGGATTCCACTTCGCTGGTTTGAATCCTATCTCACTGGTAGGTCTTTCAGGGTGGCTTGGGGAGGGGAGGTATCCAAAGCAGAATGCTGAATCCCTGACAATTTTCAAGCGACAGCTGAAAACTCATCTCTTTCGAAGCTACTTGACTTCATCATAAAAAAAATAAATAAAATAAATAAAAATTAAAAAAAATTCTCTCTCTTTATTTATTCCTTCTCTTTCTAGCTTGTACTTATTTGAACAATGTCTAAGAACTTGGTATTACAACCACTTCCTGTGTCTGTTTGCCTCTTTAAGAAGAATCGCTTTATGTATCCCCCAATTGTAAGTCGCTTTGGATAAAAGCGTCTGCTAAATGACTAAATGTAAATGTAAATGTAAATTGTAATCATTTTTCACAATATTACAGTTTTTACTGTATTTTTTAGACTTATTTCAAAAACATCAAAATCATAGCAATTCCAGACTTTTGAAGTGAAGTATACATAGTTAATTTATGTTTAGGCGTTCATTTTTGAGATATGCTGCAGTGATGTGCTTATATAATCTTTAAGTAGTTCTTTAATGAGTGTTGCTTGTTGAAGTTCAATCTTCATGTAATGTGAATGGACATGTTTTATTTCTCTCGGTGGAAAGAGGAAAGTTAAAACAGATGTATGTTCTGAGTCAGCGGCTGATTTAAAACATCATCCACTTACGGTAAATGACTTGAGATGCCCATATCATAACAGTATGTTCTGATTGAAAAGACATGTGAGGTGTGTTTTGTTTTGTGTCAGCTACATTTCGTCTGGATGCGTTTTACAATGCGTTTTAGCCAAGAGTGATGTGTGGACCAAAATTTCCATCAAACCATCCTTACTTATC